GAACTCAAGCCGAAACCTATATATCAGAGAGAGTGCCTCGTCGAGAGGGCGAGAGTCTGTGCCTCGCATAGAGTGCGAGATAGTATCGAGTTTGTGTCTCGTCTAGCGAGTCAATCCCTGCGGAGTCGATGGAGTTGACAGCCGGACAGCGAGTGCCGAGTGGGTCGTTGAGCTCACCGGAGGAGTCTGTTAGTGTATCGTGGTTAGTGCATCGTCGAGAGAGCGTGTTGAGCTCCGGGAACGACTAAACCGAAGATTCGGGAGCCGTGCTCTGTGTGTCGTCGAGTGCATCGCGAGTTGTAGGGTGGAGAGTCTCGAGAGTACGTGGAGTTTCGAGAACGACCGAGCAGAGTCGGGAGCTGTACTCTGGTGCTTTGCAGTGAAGCTGTTTCCACCGTGATACCCTGATAACCTGAAGGCTGTGTCGCTGATCGTGTCAGCGTGTTTATAGTAGTTCATCGACGACTGTAAAACATGTTTTGGAGCTGTCCTGAGAATACTGGCAAATAAAGTGTGTTTCGATACTTCATCAAGTGTCGTCGCTATTCACTCCAAATCCACTCGAACTCCGTACGAACGTGAAGGGAGAAAATAATGTATCAATTGGTGTCAGAAAAGAAAAACGTAACAATATTTTATTGGGCAGGTGAATAAGATATAATTTAATTAGTTTTAATTAAAGGAAATTAAGTGCTTAAACTAATTTAAAATAATACCGTAATTCAATTTTCCATACATGTTATTCTATAGCACCAACAAACCTAAATTCATTTCGATCTGCACGTATATCCTCGTGATACTTAGGTATCAGTAAATAATGCCCTTTAACTGCAATAATACGTTATCTTGATCGCTGCAAAATTATTATGAGCTTCAATCAAAGTATCGCTTCCAGTTGTTCATTAAAATCTGTTACGAACTTCAAATAACACTTCATTTGTGCAAACAATATGTTATTGTGTATACATGTAACAATATGTTATGTTGATGGCTGCAAAACTATTATGGGCTTCCAGTGAAGTACAATTTTCGTTTGGCCATTTTAATATAAAATCGAATCAACAATTTGTACGGTATTCCGAAAGCTTAAAAGCGGAAAACAGAATTTTTGTTGGGAAAAGTTTGAAATAAAAGTTATCGTGGATCAAAAAATAGCCCCACACAGGCATAGACACACAGCTAGACATACATCATTGTATAGTAAAAATATGTTCTGGGGACCCTAACTCACGCTTATTCACTGAAAACTCACTATCAAGTTTGGGGATTGAAAACATTACCTCCTTTACCTATAGGTTGGTGGATTTGATAAATTTCTCAAAAATTTTGCAGTAACAGGCATTTGTATTTTGCAATCATTATGAATAAATAAGTTCTGCGCCTGGCAAACAGATGTTACATTGTAATGCCTGCTTGCAAATGAATAACGACAATTATACTAAAAACTGCAGATTCTATAAAATAAGACCCTCAGAACTATGATGGGTATACATCGGCTTGTATGAAGAAAATGTATTTCATTGAGATCTTAACTTTGAATACCTGAAGAATTATATTGCACAGTGTAAATCAGAAGCGTTTTTATAGGTAATCAACATGGACTTACGGTCAATTACTCTAGTATTTACAATTATCAGTTACTTAAAAGTATGCATTTGATCTTTCGCTGTTTACCTCCCACGAGAGATCGATATTACAGCGGTAAATCCGTATACATCTACTTTGAAATAAGTTTAACATAACGTATGTGCTGTTTGAATGCGAATTTTTTTTTTGTTTGGCTACGATATTTATTTGGAATACGACTGGAGTTCGATGCGTCACGACTGTGCACACTGCACAATTTACCTGTTTCGAGATAATGTCCGTGAACATCAGTACGCCTGTTGCTTACTATTCTGTAAATAACCCGCTCTATAATTCTGAACTTTTCCTATGATTTTATATTATTTAACGAAAATGAGGAAATAAACAAATTTATAAACAAAATAAATTCTGAAAGGCTTCAGATTTTAAATTACGTCGAAAGGGGCGTTTTTTTAAACATTTTGTATATTACCTTTATTCATTAAACATCATGTTCTTCGCACTTCCGCCATAAAATTCAGTTCAAGAACAATATCGCAAAATAATTTTAAATTGAGCATATCTTTATAATTTCCGATACACAGTCTCACGTACTGAAGATAAAAATGTTTTTTCTGTACAACGTTGCCATTGTTCGCTTTGAAATCCTTGAGTTTGTTAATCACAAATTCGTTAAAGTTTTACAAAATATGAAATCGTTAATAAAACAAATTCCAAATTTCAAATTTGTGCTTCCAAATGCCCATATTCGCAGGTAGGATTACGTCATTCAAAATTGGATGGCTCTAGGTACCGCTGTTTTATCTCAATGCGAGAAACATACATACATTGATGCAGATTCTTCATTATTCAATTTCTTCAAATACAATACAGGGAGACAATATTTGGTAACAACAGTTTGAAAACTGAAGCGGACATTCAGAGGGATTCGACGCAAACTCGCAAAACGAAAACAATAGTCCCTCAGGGACCACCCTTTGGACTAAAAAATACTAGTAAATTCTTTAAAAATTATTTTTAGAAAAATTAATGGAAAGAGACTAGCAACGAAGAAAATAATTATAATGACCATGGGAGTAAAATAAGAAACTGCTGAAAGGCATGAGGATGGCATGTGTATTGGCTGTTGCATACTTCATGCTGAAACAGACGGTAAAGATAAACAAAAATGCTATTGAATTCATTAACGTTAACGTTGCGAAAGGGGTTAAATCGTTTACTAAACAGAAATTAGCTGTTCCTTTTGATCTGGGTAACAAAAAATGTTAATGTACAGTATTTTCCTTAATTTACATTAAATATGTCACCACACTGCATTGTATTTTGGTTCTAAACACTGTTATAATAATAAAAACAGGCTCTTTTTCATAAAAAGCGAATAATTATATTCCCTTTATTACTTACAGGAAAAGTCGTTTGGTATGAGGTCCAAGGATCTGGAATGGATTAATGAAGTATACTGAAGTGCCACTCTACTTGAAATTTAGCAGTCTTTCACGGTTTCGCCTTGTGTTGTTTTCTCCGCGACGTTTCGTCCGCGATGTTTTTGGCGAACGCCTCTTTCATAGTTTACTCTTAACCAAACATTTTATTGCTTTTCATTCTTTTTGGATATTGCCTCACAAGCAAAAGGTTTTTTTTCCTCCTTGACTGCTTAATATTCCCCTTAAGAGAATTTACATTTTTACGTAAAATATGAAACACTTTTTGAGATTCACATCAGTTGCATGAAAGGTATGGTCTAATTTTAAGCGTTAACTTTAGGTATAGTGACAATTATCAAAGCAATGAAGCCTAAGTAAAATTTGTCGTCATCGAAACATACCTATTAAAAACGTGTATTATTAAACAGTACATACACACACATTTATAAGATAGTTTAAGAAGATTGTATTCCTAAATATCTTTTGAAAGTTTAGTCGTAGACCCTTGTTCCAGGGTACGAAATGAACAAAATCAGTCTCTTATTATTATGACAGCTTTCTTCATAACACCTTTCAGTAAATATGTAGGATTCTTAGATTAGTTCTAGGGTAAGAAGTGAACAAAATTAGTCTTTTATATTATGAAAGCTTTGTTCATAACACCTATTAGTAAATGTACAGGATTCTTAGGTTATCTACAGACTCGATGTTTACAAAAAGTTCCAATTACTCAATTGTTCCCCATTCTAGTATTACAGAACTTTTCATAAAAAAAGACAGATCCATACTACGAAATATTTATCCGGAAAAGAATTTTGAAGTTAAACCCCTTTAGTCTGAAGCAAAATTACCTATTTTCGATTTTGAGAGTGATATAAAATTTAAATTTTTTAACTATAAATTTCCTAGTTTTAGCATTTTTTTTAAACTGAGGTTTGAAATCAGAGCTTGCAATTTATTAATTTATTGATTTATTGAATTTTATGTTAAAGCTACAGGATGTGTAAATTTTCTGATCAAAATAAAATTATAAAAATTAAATAAAAATAAAAAATTCGCTTTCAAAATATTAAAACTTAAAAAAAGGTTTTTCTGCTTTATATAATGTTTAATAATAATTAATGCAAATATTAACGCTATACTACATACGTAAGTAAATCTAGAAGCTTTCGAATACTACAGTATTATTTTCAGTTACTAGAATGTTAATTTACTAACGGATATACGAACGTAAAAACAGTAAATCTGGCCATTTAATTGAGTGCGTCATATAAAAGATAATACGAGATCAACTTTCTGAAATATAAAATGAGTCCCTATAAATGCAATGCCCTGAATACTCGCTTCTATTTCAGAGAGTAACTTTGTACACCTACCTCGTTTATTCAGATCAAAAAAGCATATATGTAAACGTCGGCAGCGTAACATTTTATTTTTATGCTCACTTATTGATGCAGCTGTTTGGCAGCTGCATTAAACCTCTCGTCGCTTAAATGTCTGAAGCCAGTTTTTTCAGAGACGAAAATAATGTTTTTTTTTATTATGATTGGTGCATCTCTTATAGCGTGACAATGATGATAGTACAAAATTTAAACACGCAGATGAGGTAAAAGTTTGTCGTCGTAAAAACTTGCACGGATTTTCTTCTTTTACTTTTGTAATGAGCCCGCATTTTTGAAATTAATAACAACTGCATCATCCTTTCTTAAAATTTCTTCTTGCGAGTTCATTTTTTTGACATGTTTATTCTTTCTGGAAATTAAAGTAATTATTTCAAGCCGAGATATTTTTCAGCTTGGATATTTTATTTGTGTTGGAATTTCAGAATATAAAAAAATCACGAAATTTTCGCTGTGGAACAAAACATTTTCATATTAAATTTCACTCATTATTTTGATAAAAGAAGTAAACTATGTGAAAACATATTTTTCAGTTACACGGTTTCGTTAAATATATTAAAAAGTAAAAAACATACTCATAATATTTTTGGTGATATGTAACCAAAATTAAAATCTTGGGGCTGCTAATAATGGAAAATTTTAAACCAAATACGCCAATGTAATGAGTAATTCTTTAGCTCTGAAAAGGGTTAATCTGAAGTTTTGTCCTCAAACTATTAACTTTCTTCTCAAGTCATCATCATCATTAAATGTTTTCAATGAAGATCACATTTCCCTTTGGAGAATAGATATTAATCACGTAGAGGCAAATCTGGGCTGTAAAGCGAAGGGGCAATTTTCTTAAAACCATATTGCTCCTTTTGAAATGTATTATTAAGACATTACTGGTTTTGAATTACTGAAAGAAGTCAGGTACCTATCTCGCTGAGACATCAAGTGAAGTGTTCTCAAGTGAAGTATTCATGGAGAATGTGCAAAAAGTTGTTTTAGATATATCCAGTCTTGCTGCTGTCTCCTTGAATTTTAATCTCCTATCAGTTAATATTTTCTGACGTCAATGCTATCTATCAATGGTTGACCTTTACAAGAATCATAAAGTACGGGTTCTCGGCCCATGGGAAAGTGTTTTACGTATCTTTACTGTAGAACAGGGACAAGATGAATCACTATATTCATGATCCAGGAATTATTTCAATTCTTCTGAACTAAGTCCTTCTTTAGTCAAAAATATAATCACAGAACGACCTCAGTTTTAAATGAGTTACAACAAAAAAAGCAATGTGCTTTTTCCAATTTCAGTGCCACTGGACGGAGTCGAAAATGCAAGAAGGGATTCTAGATTTGTCGCTCCGAGGCAAGATCTACCTAGGCCATTTCAACCAAATCAGTATAGGCCTCGGCCTTTTCAATATCCGTACAGGCTGCTTAGTTATCAACAAGAACCTTCCCGGCCTTCTCAATATCCGTACAGGCCGCTTATTTATCATCAAGTTCCTTCAATAAGTTATTATAATACGGTGCCAGAAAATGAACAGAAAAGAATGAAGAAATTTAAGTTAATGTCCGCATTGGACAACTAAACTTTGCAGCCATTATCGACACAAGTTCTCAGGTAAACATTCTTCCTTACAATATTTTTAAGGGTATTGGTACAAAATTTGAACAAGTTGAACGTAACTCTAATAGGAAATTATATTCTTTATTTAGTCAGATTCATGTAGAAAACATTATTAAAATATCATGTAAAACAGGTAATCTCACGAATGATGTAATATTCTATGTGGTAAAGTCTAATTTAAATTATTTATTACTATCTTCATCCTGTGTTTCACTGTTCAAATTACAATTTAATTTTTATAATTATCAAGTTTATCAGTTTAGAAAACAGTGAGTAAAAATGTTAAATTAGATATAGACCATATCGAGCATCTCCTAAAGATAATAGTAAAATTAAGAAGCAAATAGATGAGTTGTTAAATAATGGAATTATTAAACCTTCTTATAGTCATTATGCTGCTCTTGTAACTTTAGCTTATAAGCGTGATGAACAGGCAAAAACTAGATTGTGTACTGATTAGACAAAGCTTAATCCAATTACAAAACCTTTTTCTGAGCCCATTCCTAGAATTGAAGCTGTATTAGATCAATTAACAAATGGAAGAATTTTCTCTACATTGGATTTAGCCTCAGGCTATTGGCATATAAAATTAAATGAAAAAGATATTGAAAAATTAGCATTTGCTACAAATTTTGGACTTTATGAGTTTACTGACTACCGTTTGGTTGGAAGAATCCCCCAACTGTTTTTTAAAGACGTCTTAGACAAATTTTAAACAAATATCAGATTCAATTTGATTTAAATTATTTTGATGATATAGTATTTTCTCCAAATTTCGATGAGCATTTAAACCATCTTAAAATAATATTTGATATATTTTAAAAAGAAAATATAAAGTTAAAACAATCTAAATGTAATTTTGCTAAAGCAAAAATAAATTTTCTAGGATATGAAACTGAAGCAGGTAAATACCAGCCCAGCAATGCAAATATAGAGGTTATTAAGAAATTGCAACCTCCTAAAAATGTCAAAGAGTTGCAAAGATTTTTAGGAAGTATTAATGTATATCATAAATTTATTCAAAAAATTATGCTAAAATTAGATGTCCTCTAAAAAATTTACTTAAGAAAGATACCCCCTGTAAATGGACTGATGAATGTCAAATAACTTTCCAAAAATTTAAAGATGCATTAATTTCTAGGCCTCTTTTAACTTTATTTAATCCTAAATATCCTTGGCATGTATTTGTTGATGCCTCTAAAGAAGCTGTTGGTGCTGTTTTAAAACAAGAACATCTTGATGGTAATTTACATCCAATTGCTTTTCATTCTAGAAAATTAAGATCTTATGAACAAAATTATGCAATTACTGAGCTGGAATGTTTATCTATTATCGATGCAATTGATAAATTTTATTATTATTTACATAGTAATCATTTTACTGTACATAGTGACTGTTCAAGATTTGCAAGAACTACCCGCTCTTCTTTCTCTTAATAAACTTAAAATAAAATAACTTTACATATAAAATTCCAAAGCGTCATATTTATTTTCAAAATTCGTAGAACTACAACAAACTACAACAAAGATCAGATGGTTGCCACTCTTGCAGTGACAAACTATGAAAAGAAAAATAACAACTGAGGCTAGGTTCTAACAATACTCCCACCTTTTGATTGTTGACATATACTTAATCAATCAAACCAAAATATAATAAAAAATACTGTCCACACAAATATTAAGTTCTTAAATTTCTACTCTAAAAAAACTCAAGTAGTGTTCAAGTTAGAAATCTAGATTTTAATTTCTCGTCCACTTCTAGTCACGACAGTCTTAATGTCCTTTGATAAATCTGCAGCTGAATTATTCTTTGGTAATTTTGAGACTAAACTGTCTTCACCCTGCGTCTCAGTTTTATTTGTCTCATCTGATTCCAAAGATGAAGGTATTCCGAGAGGGAATTTTCTCCGGATTGGTCGAACTAATTCTCCAGACATGGTTTTGACACGAACTACTCGAATGTTGTCGTTCTTTCCGGGATATAGTTCAATTACTTTTGCTATAGGCCACAACACCTTGCGTTTGTCATCGCATTCGATAAGAACTATATCTCCAATTTTTATCTATTGAGAAATCGGCACTGTAGATGGACGTTGCACTAGCAGGCCGAGATATTCATTTCTAAATCTCTTTCTCAAGAGCTCTCGTAAATTCTGTAAATGTCTCAGTCTCTTGTTGAAATCAACTTTGTCAAGATGATCCAAGTCAGTAACTCCAAAGACTGGAATTTCACCTAAAAACAAGGACGGTGTCAAAGGGATGAGATCATCAGAGTCCTCTGACACATAAGTGAGTGGTCTGGCATTCACAATTTCTTCGCAGTCGCACAGCACACTCATCAGTTCTTCATAATTCAGACATGACTGGCCTAGAACTCGAAGCAAAAGCTTCTTAATCATTTGAACAAGTCGTTCCCAAAAGCCACCCCACTATGGTGCTGCGGGTGGACTGAACTTCCAATCGATCTTGTTTGTGGCGGCTTCTATCTCAATGGTATTCCAATTAATCGATCTCAAGAGATTATTGGATCCGACAAAATTGCTTCCCTTATCGCTATAAATTATCGATGGCCTCCCTCTACGAGCAATAAATCTTCTAATACCAAGTAAATACCTTGAGTTGAAAGGGACAAAATCAGTTCCAAATGGACCGCCCTGAAAACAGCACATGTGAAAAGTAAAATCCAAGCTTTTCATTTATCCTTCAAAATTAATGGGCCAGCTAAATCAACACCGACAATCTCGAAAACACGAGCCTCTCTAACTCTGTTTTCTGGTAGAGTAGCAGGCACAGTCTGTAGTCGTTTACCTCCATGTCTCCTGCACCTGACACATGCATATAAAGCTTTTCGAATTGTACCTCTACTTTTCAGGATCCAAAACGTCTCTATAAGTTTTGACATCAGTACGTGAATTCCTGCATGAGACATAGAGAGATGTTTATCAATTATCAATTTCTCCACAATCTTATGATTCTTCGGAAGTAACATTGGATAAATAAAATTTTCATACTCTCCTTTCAGTCAACCTAGACCTGACACGTAAAATGCCTTCGTCATCTTTGAACACACTTATTGACTTCAGCTTCTTAATATCATCAGATGAAAAAGAATCATGTTGAATAATCTTCACGATAGATTTCTCAGCCCTTATCAATTCATAAACTTTTAACTCTCCTGATTCTCTTTCTTCTTTCCTCTTTCGGGTATTTCCTATGAATCTGTGTATCCCCACAATCATTCTAAGTATTTTCTTATACTTTGAAAAATAGCCAAAGAATTGTGAAGACATATCGCTAACATTGCTTAACGAAACTTGCTTTACGTTTTTCAGTATTAACCTCTTCTTTATTATCGATTGGGATAGAACGAGGCCATTCTTCTTCCGGCAGTGCCAACCAAGGTGGGCCCTCCCACCATCTTGATTCAATGAGTTTCTTCACAGAGAGCATCCTCTTGATGGCATATCGGCTGGGTTTTCCGCACCTGGTACATGATGCCAATTTTCACGATCCGATAGGATTCTAATTTCTGAAACTCTGTTATTCACAAAAGTGCTCCAAACTTCTACGTTCTTTATCCAGAACAGTGCTGTTGACGAATCGGTCCAGTAATATTCCTTTGAAATTTCGACCTTAAGGTTCTTCTTGACAAATGATGCTAATCGCACCCCAATAAGACAAGCAAGCAATTCAAGTCGTGGTATACTTATTTTTTTCAAGGGAGCCACTCGTGCTTTGGCTTGCACTAGGGTCACTTTGACTTCTTTATTTTGACTTCTCAAATATACTGCACTTGCATAAGATCCCTGTGAAGCATCGGCAAACGTATGCAAACTAAAAGATTGTCCTTCTGTCAATGAAAGTAGTCTGGGAATCTTCACAGAGGATAACAAGGGCAATTCTTTGACCCACTTCAAGAATTTTCTTTTAATATCTTCAGGTAGCTCTGCATCCCAGCTCTTTTGCAAGTATAACTTTGGAAGGAGTGTAAAAGGGCATGTGAAACCTATTGTGTCAAAAACGCTCTGTACAATTGATAGTACGTTTCGTCTTGTCACTGAGAGATCAATCAAGTTGATATTAGGGATGTCACGAAACAAAGAATCTTCATATTTATCCCACAGAAGACCAAGTACTTTCAATGGTTCGCTCATTGTAGATTTTCCACTGTTCAGTTCTGTTTGCTCCCACCTCTAAAGTCAAAGTTAGCACTTGCCATTAACTGAGTTGATTTTGCAATAAAGTATTCTGCTTCTTCATTCGAATTCACTGAAGTGACACAGTTGTCAACATAGAAGGAATTTTTCAATTTTGTAGCCACTTCCTTCAAAGAAGGTTCACATTGGTCTAAATGAGAGTTGATCACTGCTCCTAAAAGAAACGGACTGCATTTTAGTCCGAAGACTACTCTGCAATGGCGAAATTTTCTTATTTCCTTTTGTTCCGAGTTTTTCCACCATAGGAATCTTAGGAAATCACGATCAGATCTTTGAACAGATATTTGAAGAAAAGCTCTCAATATCTGAGATAATCCCTATTTTTCCTTGCCTAAATTCAAGAAGCAATCTAGGTATTAATTCAATTAAATTTTGACCTTTTGCTAAACAGTCGTTAAGTGATAGGAAATCCTTTTTGCTTGCATGAAGCGTCAATTACAGGCCTTACTGCTGTTGTACAGTTATCTCTGAAGACCGGTATGTGGGGGAAGATAATGATTGTTAACTCGTTCCTCTTCTTCTGTTACTTCTTCTATTACTCCAGATTCGAGCCATTCTTCGAACACTGCATTGTATGTTTCAAATTTATCTTTCAACATGAGCTTCTTTGTCGTGGAAATCAATCGCTTTTCAGCAACTTCTCTGTTACTTGGTAAAGCTTCTTTATCGTTGATCCAAGGTAAACTGACTTCATAGCGATCATCCACCCTCTTCAGAGTCTTGTGAAAGTGATCCCACACTGCTTCTTCTAACTCTGAGTCAGTTTTACTTTCTTTGG